GAGAGAGAGAGAGAGAGAGAGAGAGAGAGAGAGAGAGACCTACCCAACCCCTCCTACCCGTTCTACTAACCAGTTCTACACTACTACAGTTATATGAGGCCTAGGTTCCCCCCTAGCATAACCTCTTTACTTACTATCTCTTGAAGTGTTTCATTGGCAATAGCTTATCAGCATTAATGTGGAAGGCATGCAACAGCTGCATTAGTAGCGCCATCCTGTAACATCCTGTGGAGGCAGAGGCAGCCCATATATGGAAATGACAAAAATAAGAGAGAAACTGAGGGTCGTACAATTCGAACATCAAGCAACTGCACCTGGTGCTTGAAGTTCAGGAAAGCTACTGGCCTGTGTTCATCTCTTGACAGTTAGCCTATAACTATACCAATTTTTAAATACTCCTGTATACTATGAGACCATCTATTCTGTAGATCAGGCATTTCAAAAGAAACTGGTACTTCTGGATCAGTCTGCCTAAAGTAAATAAAAACTAGATTGTTTAAATACATAAAAGGAAATAAAGATTCGGAGTGAAGACACTTTAGCTCGGCTATAGATCTTTCCTACAAATCATAAAAAATATAGACCACCCTTAATTTAGGAGAGTAAAACAAAAATAAAGCTGGAATGTAAAAGTTGAGTGGCTCATATGGAAGGGTGAAGAAAGTAACTGGAAAGTGAGAAGTGGATAAGAAGCCAGGCTCTAAAATTGTACTCATTAGGTATAGATAAGATAAGTTTAAAGGAGTTCACAGTCAACAATGAAAGGTGAAAAAGATTCATGGTACTTTTTTTAATAGAACAAACATCAGAAGAAAACACAGGGGAGAAATGTGTGTCTATTTAATTCATGGGGTTAATCCTTAATGGTTACTGCCTAGGTTTATACTGGGCAAGAATTTTGTCCGACTGCTGCTGTGTGCATAAAAGTAATTGAAAACCATCTGAAACACATAAAAATCTGTTGTGGGGAGAAGAGCTAAACCTGAAGAGTATAATCTTTAGAGAAGATCCCGCTGGCAAAACTCTATATGCTTCATTTCCATTCATCTGGGTTGAGAGGGCTGCTCCGTAGAACAAAGCTGTTCCACAGAAGACAACGAAAGAAATACCCATGACAATTAGTGCCAACTGCATCAGGATTAACCCATATAGTCTTATTTCCATGTTGCCAAATTTCTTTTGGAAGTAATAATCAGATATTGGCAGGAATACAATGGCATCAATGAGGACTTAAGTACCACAGCAGAGGGATCAACCCTCCTTATGAACGCTCAGGCCTTCCAGGAAGATCAAGATGTCATATGCCTTGCTCAAACCAGTTTCACTTGTTGGAAGTAACTTGTTTCCTGGAGGTATAATTCAGTCTATTCCCTTCTACTGTAATAGAGAGGAAAGACAATCTTGTGTCAAGGGCACATGACCAGCAATAAAAAGGACTGGGTTCTGAGATAGAGGTCACATCAAATCCTAAAATTACCAAGCCCATCAGTACCATTCTCAAGCAGGGTGTGTGGGCTGGGATGCTTCCTCACAGATACAATATAGATGCTTTTATCCAGTGCCACTTAGCTTGGCCCCAGGCTAAGTAACCTGCCTTGGCCCCTCAGTGGTGCTGTGAACTTCTAGTTCAGGTGGCAGTCCTTGTGTATCAGCGTTGTGATGCCAAACACTGAGTTTACCATGTACATCCGCACAAACTTTCTGTGCGACCTTAGCCAAATGCTTAATCTGTCATTCTCAGTTTTCTTATCTGCATGACAATGATACTAATTCTCAAAGACCGCACAAAAGCTTGTAAAGTTAAATTAGTTAAAGTTAAAGAGCATTTTGATTCCTGCAGATGAAAGGTATTCTATAAGGATGAAATGTTATTTATTATCAACTGTGTTTCTTTTTATTCTCTTGGCCTCTTAGAAAGTAAATTTTCTCTTTTTCACAATAAAATATTGCACAGAAATGAAAGATTGGAAGAAGAAAAATGTATCTAAATTTACTAAATGTAATTTCATTGTGTAATTACTTGAAGGCCTTTGGATTTTCCTAGGAAATTACTCTTCCACTTTGGTAACTTTTCAAATACTTGTTTATTAATATATAAATTAGTTTTGGCAAATACAGTGTTTTAGTCTTTGTGCAGAAAGGCCAGTGCATGCAGTCTGTGCCCTTAAGTGTATGGAACCTATTTCATGTTCTTTACCTCCCTTTCTTCCAAATGTTACCTTTCTTCTACTTTCATTCTATTAATCTGTAATCCAGTTTCTTTTCATTTTGGCAGACCTCCCAGGTTTATCTTTCCCCTTACCCTGAAGAGTTCTGATACTGTAGTTGAAGAATTATTTCTATATACTGTCATTTCTAGCATGTGTTTTACCTTTATTTTAGTAATGAGACTGGGCAGGCAGCACACCATGCTGGATATCAGTGCAGTGCACCTTGGGTGTATTAAAAGTATTTGACTTTACCTACTGCATTTATAGAATGTATTTTATTAATTTTACCAATGAGACAAGACAGGCATTTGGCTGGATATTGCCACATTTCTGGAGTATTGTGTGGGTTAATGCTTCTAGAGCCGCTGAGAATTACTAACATGTAGCCCAGCACACACCTCAAGTGTGAGGTTTTGACAGTGCAACACTAACATTGTGATGCAGTAGTTGTTTTTAAATCCTAATATAGATAAATACATATCCTATGTGATTTACAAAAACAGATGTGCATTGAATTATAGTTTCAATTTGTAAGAAAAGAGTCTTAAATTGAGATTATAAACTGTTTTTAGTGAAACACTGTACCAGGGGTCAGCATCCTATAGCCCACGGGCCAGAACATAGAATCATAGAAGTCAGGTCGGAAGGGACGTTGTAGATCTTCAAGTCCAACCCCCTGCCTGGACAGCAAAAAAACTGGACTCAAATGACTCCAGCCAGGTAGGCATCAAGCCTCTTCTTAAAGACCCCCAGGGTAGGAGCCAGCACCACTTCCCTTGGAAATTGGTTCCAGATCCTGGCCTCCCTGACTGTGAAATAGTTCTTTCAGATGTCTAATCTAAGCCTACTCTCCAACAATTTATGGCTGTTATTCCTTGTTATGCCATGGGGTGCTAGGGGAAACAAGGTCTCTCCCAAACCCTTCTGGTCCCCGCTAGTGAGTTTGTGGACGGTCACCAGGTCCCCCCTCAGCCTTCTCTTGTGAAGGCTGAACAGGTTCAGGTCCTGCAGTCTCTCATTGTAGGGTCTGCCCTGTAGTCCCTGGATCATGCAGGTGGCCCTCCTCTGGACCCTCTCAATGTTGTCCACATCCCTCCTGAAGTGGGGCGCACAGAACTGGACGCAGTACTCCAGCTGTGGCCTGACCAGTGTCACATAGAGGGGGAGGATCACCTCCTTGGCCCTATTTGAGATGCACCTGTGGATGCATGACAAGGTGCAGTTAGCCCTGCCAACCGTGACTTCGCATTGTCGGCCCATGTTCAATA